CTGGTTTTATGGCCAGCTGATGCCCGAGGGATGTTTCCTGCAATGCCCTGGAGAGCTGTGTTTCATTGTTTTTAGGACAGGAGGAGCCACCTCAAGGTTTGAGTGAAGGCTGTGTATAAACAGGTTAATAAATAAAACACAGAAATAATATCTCGCTCTCTGTTCAGTGCAGATAAAATTGCTTGGCTGGGACAGAAGAGAGCTGGGTCATAGGAAGTACTGCTTAATTCAGTAATGTGATGTCATTGTTAGAATCACAGAATGGGGAAGGCACCCCAGAGATCATCTAGACCAACCTTCTGCCCAATGCTCAAATATGATGGCCAGATGTCTATATAGTTTGAATTCCTAGGAAAGAGAGCAGGGGTTGGCAGTAGTAGATGAGAAAGTGATTCAGGTATCTTCCAGGAATCCAGAAGATGTAGACCTGTTCTTTATTATCCCCTTAAGAAGGACCAGCAGCAGTAGGTAAAAATTTAGAAGTTTGGGAAGACAATTAAGACTTATGAACTTCAAATCCCAGAATTCCTCCTCCAGTCATGTTGAGCTCAGGAATTCTGGGAGTTGAAGTCCACAAGTCTTAAACTTGCCAAGTTTGAAGACCCTTGGTATAAACTGTGGAACAGGTTGCCACATGAAACAGTGAGTTTTCCTTTGCTAGAAGTCTCCAAATAGGACAGTGGATGGTCATTGGTCAGAAACTGTAGTACAGTGTTTCCCAACCTTGGCCACTTTCCATTGTGTGGACCTCAACTCCCAGAATTCCCCAGCCAGCACAGCATAGCATATCTAGTTGGGGAATTCTGGGAGTTGAAATCCACACAACATAAAGTGGCCAAGGTTGAGAAACACTCTACTACCAGGAGTTAGATTCATCATTAAACAAGAGGATGGAGATGGTGACCTCTTTAGTAACTTCCGACTAGTGTGAACATCCCACTTCATAAGGCAGCAACAACATATGTAAAAAAAAAGAAGGGCACTTTGATGTCTTGAGTTCTCTACAGGCGTGTCTGATTTCCAGTTTTTAATATTTCACAGTTAGAGGTAGACAGCCTCTCTTAAGTCTGTATCGGATGCTTCATTTCTTCCAAGTCAGTGGCCATCACAATCTTGAGTAGATGTCTGTAGATGTTGAGTAGAGAAATGTATATCCTGGATTTTTGTTGCTATGCATCGTATCCATTGTACAATGAGTGGGTTGTGATCCACAAGTCATAAGGTATAAGTTGCCTTTTTTTTTTATAGCTCACTTTAGTTTTGAGGGCAATGGAAGGCTTTCAAAGGGTGTCAGATATGAGGGCTTAGGATTTTCCCCACCCCAGTTGATCCATTATTGGCCAAAAGCTGGTTGACACTGGTTGGCATGCAGCAAATGAAAGATTATTGCAAGCCCAAAGATCTAATTTCACCTGATCCTCTCTCTGCAAGAGAACCTATGAATTGGATTTAACACAGTATTTGTAAACTCTTTGTATAGACTCTCCTTAATCTGTATATATGACCTTCTTGTGATTTCCCATACAGTACATTTGTCAATTGAATCAAAATGCAGTTTTTAAAGTTCCCTAACCTATTCAGATATTAGATGTACATCTGATTCTATCCAACCTTAAGGCAAGCAGGGGGTTGGACTAGAAGACCTTTAAGGTCTCTTTCAATTCTATTATTCTATGTGAAGGCAATCTTCCTCCAGGGGCATTCTCACTATTATGTCACTCCTAACCAGGATTAACCATTTTAGGACTGACATAATTACTCCTAATAAAAATAAACCTAACCAGGATTGTTTTTGTTAGAAGTGATTGTATCATCCCTAACCAGGTTTGGTTTTGAGAGGATGATAGCTTCTTTAGGGATATTTATCATAGCCATGTCTTGGAAAGCATGAACCTGATTTTGAAAGAAGATGGTGGTTAGACTGGACAGCCCTCTGACTGAATGTTTTAATGTGGGTTCCTACTTAGCAGGGGTTGGTCTGGATGGCCTCAAGGGCACCCCTCCAACATTTTGATACTAAGAGCCCCCCTCTTCCCTGCTCCTAACTGCAATTCCCAAGGCTGTTACTTCCACTTTTAAAATGCAGGGCACATGATTATACCCCTATGTTTAATGCAACTTTTTCCAATTAGCATCCAGATTCATATGTTGACCTTTGACTTCAGCTAATGACTGTGCTGGCTGGGAATTTGTAAACGCAGCATATCCAGAAGACAGGGAAGGGTGCTTTTAAGATACCACAGGCAGCCCTCGACTTACAACAGTTCATTTAGTGACCATTCGAACTTTACAATGGCATTTGATAAAGGTGACTTATGACCGTTTTTTTCACACTTACGACCCTTGCAAGCATCCCCATGGTCACGTGATCAAAATTCACACATTTGGCAACTGATTCATATTTATGATGGTTGCTACGTCCTGTGATCCCCTTTTGTGACCTTCTGACAAGAAAAGTTAATGTGGGGAAGCCAGATTCACTTAACTGGGTTATTAACAGCTGCAGTGATTCACTTAAGAAAGGTCATAAAATGCGGCAAAATTCACTTAACAAATAACCTCGCTTAGCAACAGAAATGTTGGACTCAATTGTGGTCTTAAGTCGAGGAGTACCCATATTAACTTAAAGATTAATAGTGATTATTTAAGATTAAGATTATTTAAGATACCATTGTTAAATCTTCAAGAAGGGATTGAATTACATGCCATTACATGCATTTGTAAGCATCTTATAGAATAGAATAGAATTAGAATAGAATTAGAATAGAACAGAACAGAGAACAAAATATAGAATAGAATATAGAACAGAATAAAATAGAATTCTTTATTGGCCAAGTGTGATTGGACACACAAGGAATTTGTCTTGGTGCAAATGCTCTCAGTATACATAAAAGAATATTGTATAACCCAAGGGTCTCCAACCTTGGCAACTTTAAGACATGTGGACTTCAACTCCCAGAATTCCTAGAATTCCTCAGCCAACTGGCTGTGGAATTCTGGGACTTGAAGTCCACACGTCTTAAAGTTGCCAAGGTTGGAGACCCCTGGTAAACCACAAACACAACCTTCTTTTCTAGAAGTTGCACTTTTTAAGTTTCTACCCACGTAGGAAAGTAGTAACATGACAACTAGAGAAATGTATATAATGAGCAGTTTTATCCAATGGATCTCATTGCCTTTTAAATTGCATAGCAACCCAGGACCACGGTCCTGGCTTAGATTTTGTTTTCTTGAAAGTAATTTCTCTTGAACATTGGACTACTCCCTTTCAGTGAAAAAGTTGTTTCCAAGCTCTGTTTAGCAGGGACAACCTCTCTCAAGTTCCTTTGCCTTCACAAGGTTGACCCATCTTACTGTCTTAAGGCAGGGGTCTCCAACCTTGGCAACTTTTAAGACTCTGGACTTCAACTCCCAGAATTCCTAAGCTAACATGACTGGAGGGGGAATTCTGGGAGTTGAAGGCCACACATCTTAAAGTTGGCCAAGGTTGGATTTAGATGATTAAAGGTGTGAAAAATGCCCCTTCAACCTTCTGTAGAATTGATCCAAGAAGCCATTAAGGACATTTTAAGCATATGATTGAAAGTGGAATCCTGCACAATCTCAGGTTTGGGGAGAAATTCTTAACTTTTTTAAGGGCCCGGTTTTTTTTTAATTCTCTCGGCTACCCAACCTGAACTTCCTCTCAAAGCCTCCAGAACTTGTGAATGTTCCAACACTGGGAGTTTTTAAGAAGAGGTTGAACAACCATTTTAGAGCACAGAATAACAAGAGTTGGAAAGGGGCCTTGGAGGTCATCTAGTCCAACCCCCTGAATAAGCAGGAGAGCCCCATACCATTTCAGACAAATGGCTGTCTGGTTTCTTTCCCAAAGCCTCCAAGGATGGGTCATCCACAACTTCTGAAGGCAAGTTGTTCCACTGGTTCATTGTACTCGCCATTAGGAGATTTCTTCTTAGTTCTAGGTTGTTTCTCTCCTTGATTAATTTCCATCCTTTGGTTCTTGTTCTGCTTCCTGGTGCTTTGGAAAATAGCTTGACTCCCTCCTCTTTGTGGCAGCCCCTCAAATATTGGAATACTGTTATGTCTCCCCTAGTCCTTTTCACTAGACTAGGAACACGCCCAATTCCTGCAGCCGTTCTTCAGATGTTTTAATCATTTGTCTGAAATGATAGTTTTTCCTGTCTGAGCAAGGGGTTGGACTAGAAGACCTCCAAGGTCCCTTCCAACTCTGTTATTCTGTTAAAACCAGTAAATTAAATCTCATTGATATATATGTATGGAAGAGTGACAGTTTGGAAAGTCCATGTTGTAGGCTAAGCTGGGAAGATTTTGAAAAAAAGGTAAAATTATACGCTACTTTCATGTTGGAAGTGTGGAATTGACATCTCCCTGAGGAGATGACCAGGAACTGACTTAGAGAAGATTACCTTTTAAACAGGTAACTTTCAGCCAAATGTCCATCCTTTTGTTGCCCTGGCCTCCATAAAGAAAGGATGAGATGCAGATGTTAGGAGGTTATTGTGAGTATTATCCCTTTGGGAAACTGCCTTCCATCCAATTCCTTTAGGTTTCTAAAAGCTGACACTTCTAAACTTAGATCTCATCAGCTCCTTTCTAATCTGCCAGATCTATGTAGAACAGGGGTCCCCAAACTTGGCAACTTTAAAAACTTATGGATTTCAACTCCCAGAATTCCTCAGCCAGCATTCTGAGAGTCCACAAGTCTTCAAGTTGCCAAGTTCGAAGGACCTCTGATGTAGAACAAGGATCTCCAGGAAGCTAAATGGGTTGAGGTGTTTAATAACTGCAGTCTTGAATTATTATTTTTCTTTTTCCCTTTCCAGGTACTTGAAAACTCCTTTGATTGTAACAGCCCAGACATTTCATTGAACATTTCGTATTCCTGCTCTGATCCTTTCCATCCAAGTTGCTGACTTGTCCTGCCTGGAGTCCTGATCACCGCTGCTGCTTTTGGCCAATCGAACTGTGCTTTGAAGGATATATAAACATGTATCAAAGCTTGGCCCTTGCTCCAAATCCTGGCCAGTCAGCCTACCCCCACGACTCCAGCAATTTCCTGCACACCTCAGCGAGCCCGGCCGTTTATGTCCCCACCAGTCGAGTTTCCTCCATGCTCCAGAGCCTCCCCTACCACCTGCAAAGCTGCGATCCCACCCACCAAGGCCACCCTCTGGGCGGCCACCCCGGATGGGGTCAGCCAGCCGCGGCTGAGGCTTCCCACTTCAATGGTGGCAGCCCTCACCCACCTTCCAGTTTTTCCTACACCCACAGCCCTCCTGGGGGGAGCACGGCCGGCCGGGACGGGGGCTACCAAAGTCCACTGTTGCTGGGTGCTGGAGGGCGTGACCAGTATGGCAACACTCTGATGCGTTCGGTCAATGGATCCTACTCCAGCCCATACCCCACGGCTTATGTGAACCCAGCGGAAATGACGCCATCTTGGCCCAGCAACCATTTTGACAGCAGTGTCTTCCATAGCCTCCAGACGCGACAAGCAGCCTTGCCAGGCCGGAGATCTACGTTCGGTATGTAGCATTAATTGATTTATTTGTATTCCACCTTTATTATGGTTACAAAGAGCTCAAAGCAGTGAGTATATATATATCCAACACACACTAGAATTCAGTCTCCTGGGGTTTGGCCCAAGTCATCCAGTTGCTTTTCATGGCTAAGGTGAGACTAGAATTCACAGTCTCCTGGTGTTTGGCCCAAAGTCATCCAGCTGGATTTCATGGCTAATAAACTGTAGGACTTGACCTCCTGCTTTCTAGCCTGGTGCCTTAACCACTAGACTAGAGCAAACTAGCTCTCCTATGCCCAATTGTAGCAATGCCAGTCTCCTGTAATGATTTGCCTAAAGACTGGTGTGAAGTAAAGATTTCATCAATTATGTCCTTGGTTCTGGTAGCCTCTCTTGTAAGTGGCAGAATTTGGGAACAGCCACAAAAACAGAAGGTAGAGTGTAAAGTCCATTCTCTCTCAATGTCCATTCTCTTCTTAAAAATCCCCAGTGATGAAGCACCCACAACTTCTGGAGGGAAGCTGTTCTGATGGTTAATTGTCCTCACTGTTTGGATATTCCTCCTTAATTCCAGGCTGCTTCTCTCCTTGATGAGTTTCCATCCATTGTTTCTTGTCCTGTCCCTCTGGTGCTTTGGAGAATAAACTGACACCCTCCTCTTTGTGGCAACCTCTCAAATACTGGAATACTGCTGTCATGTCCCCGTTCTTTCCCCTCCTTCTTTCCTCTAGACTAGCCAAACTATTCTTGGTATGTTTTGGTATCCAGGCCTTGAATCATCTTAGTTGCTCTTCTTTGCACTTTTTCCAAAGTCTCAAACATCCTTTTTTTGTGATGTGGTGACCAAAACTGTATTCCAGGGGTGGCCTTACTAAAGTTTTATAAAGCAGTATTAATACTTCCTGAGTTTTTGATTGTATGCTTCTCTTTATGCAGCCAAGGATTTTGGCTACTGCCAAAAAATGCCATCGACAGCATTTGCCAGGGGGCAAGTGAGGAGGGTAAATCAGATTCAGCCAAGAGCTGAAAATGTTGGATAAATAATTCTGTGCTGAGAAAGGGGAAGTTTAATTTAGGAGTAACATCAGTGCTGCATGTGGAAATTCACATTGGGGCAGGTTATCAGGTTATCCTTGGAAGAAAAGCTTGTGGAAACAACCTGGGTACAATTAGCATTGCTCGTGGAGAACAGATCTTTTGATGGCAAAGTGATATTATAGGGTATCCTGCTTCTACTTGAGCAGTGGGTTGGACTAGAAGACCTCAAAGATCCTTTCCAGCTCTTATTCTGATTGATTGAATTCCTTATTACAGAGTCAAGGGTTTATCAATTACTTGCAGAAAGCATTTTGATAAGAGGCTTTTGACATTTGGTTTATATTATGGAATCTTCTCAGGCACTTTAAGTTAATTTAGCAAAGGTGTGTTTTCCACCTTTTGTGCTTTATTCAGTAATGGTTTCAAATCTGTTGCGTGAACAGTGGCATTACAAGGGGATGAGTTATAACATGTTAGTTAGAAGATGGGGAGTCTGGGGGGGAATTAAAATCTAGTTACTCTGTGATAAAATGGGCTGCCAACAAATTTAATAAATCATAATAATTGCCAAAACTTTTATGTTCTAGGTGGATATTTACCAAATGTTGCTTGAATAATAAAGTAATTTCTCTAACAATGAGCAACTAGAAACAGTAAAGAACAGTTCTGGTATGTTCTAACATGAATGTATAGTCGCAGTGGGATACAGTTTTAGCAGTTAAATTCTTTCTCTTATTATTCAAAAATTTCTTCACAAACCATGACTGGATGACCTTGAATGTTAACAAAACATTTGCTTAAAATAAGAGCTTAGGTGAAAAAGATACTTGCAAGCCTCATTTGTAGATTGTGCTAAGCAGCTAGATCAAGAATGACTGAGTTCATACAAAACAAGAAGACAATATTATTTATTTAGCAAATGTGGTGGGAATCTGGTTGTCCAGATATCCGAGTATTTCTCACTTCTTAAGTATGGCTCAATTACATTTGATTCTATGTCTATTAGGATTTTCTGATTTTTTCCCCCTTAAGTAACTTGGTGTCCCAGAGGTGTTTTGTTCCCAAAAGACAACTGGATTTTCTTGTATTTTTTCCCTTTTGAAAATGTTTTTCTTCTCATCCAAGAAACTTCCCCAGTTGGTGGAGACCCTTCTCAAATCCAGCAAGAACCTCCATGGAGGTTCCATGGAGATTCTCAATCATCCAGGCCATGGTTGTCCCAAAGATGCCTTTTGAAAAGGCAACTGGACTTTTCTGGGTTATTTTTCTTTTCAAGGAAGAAAAGAAATTATTTTTGTTATTTTCACTTTTCATCCAAGAAGCAGAACTGAAGAAGCTTCTTGGATGAGAAGCCAAACATTTTCAAAGAAAAAAACAAAAAAACAAAGCCTTTTGCAAAAAGAAAAAAGCACCTTTAGGACAACCATGACTTGGATGATTGAGAGAAGAGACATAGATACTACCATGCTAGTAAATTTCTCTGCATCAGAGGTATGGGAGTGTGTGCGTAGGTTAGTATCTTTTCAAGGACGTGTTTTTACAAAGTAACACAACCCAACTTAACAGAAGTCACAGAATTCTAGGATGGTACTATGGCCAAAGATAAACATGAAAAGCTACAAGGTTTTAAGTGTGGAGTGGAAACTTCTTCTTAGAGATAGAGTCATTACAGGAAAGTATTTTGAAGATATCTCTTAATGATGAATTCTAAAGGAAGACCAAGTACCCATTAATTAGTTTGTATAGGAAATGCCTTCGGCGAGGCGCAGAAATGTAGAATTGAGAGATTTCCAGGGTTCAGTCCCTTTAAAGAAGGATCTAAGTTTCGTCTCATTAGTTCAAGGATCACATGTTGGGCAGATGCTGAAAAATAAAGTGCCACCCAGCTATAATTGAACGAAACGTGCCTTAACTTGAACACGCCTGACCTGTTGCCAAGTGTACTTTGGAGTTTGTGACTTTGAGATTTGACCTGGGCATGGTGTGTGCACATATCAGCACACATACCTCATCAGCATAAAATGCCTTTGGATTCCCTCCCCCTCCAACCCTTTTTGCAGGGCCTGTCAAAAAAAAAAAAAAAAAAACCAAGCCAACCCAAGTGGGAAATAAAGTTATTTATTCATTCAGATTAGCAAAATGTAGGCCTTGGGGAAAGGTTTCACTCCTGAGAAGTTAAAGGAATAATAAGAGTTGGATGGGACCCTGGAGGTCTTCTAGTCCAACCCCTCTGCTCAGGCAGGAAACCCTACACCACCTCAGAAAAATGGTTGTTGGTAGTTGTCCAATCTCTTCTTAAAAACTTCTAGTGTTGGAGGAGTACTCACAACTTCTGGATTAATTGTTCTCACTCTCAGAAAATTTCTCCTTAGTTCTAGGTTGCTTCTCTCCTTGATTACTTTTAAATTTTCTTTTTTATATATTAAACATAAAATTAAAAAACATTGAAGGTGGTGAAGTCATTTTGACATAACTTTTGGCCATCATTCTAGTGAAATATAATAAAATGTAGATCTTGTATACATTTATACATATATACACATATATACATTTATTCATCATTATTTACATCTTCCAAAATTCTTATTTTAGTCTCATGATCACAGATGTCCTCTTAACTCTTTTCCATCTTAAACCCTTTCTGTCCCCACCAATGGTAAAATTATTCCAAATTATATAATATTCCAGTTCATCCTTATTTTTCATCTCTAGTGTTTGCCTGTCCACTTCAGTGCAAGTCAGAATTTTGTTTATTACTTCATCTTCACTAGGGTCTCCTTGATACTTTCCATCTGTTGCTTCTTCTCCTGCCTTCAGGTGCTTTGTGGAATAGCTTGACTCCCTCTTCTTTGTGGCAGCTCCTCAGATATTGGAAGACTGCTATCCTGTCACCCCTAGTCCTTCTTTTCATTAAACTAGACATACTCAAAATACCCAAGGGAACATAATGAAAGTATTATTTCTTTCATTGCCATCAAAGGGACTAGCACCTTACTTTTAAGGCAGTGTTTCTCAACTTTGAAGATGTGTGGACTTCAACTCCCAGAATTCCCCAGCTGAGAGTTGGAAGTCCAGATAAGACACCAGGATTAAAAACATTGCTCTAAGCTTGTACATCTTCCCACCAAGTGTTAACATTTTCATCCTTTGGTTATAAGACAAGGGCGCTCATTCAACTTCAATCCTTCAGAAAAACGGAAATACATTTTCATCCTGTAGGAAAATTCATGGGAGAGAGAGCTGATTGAGCAGATGAAGACCAATTGTAAAGGAAGAGTAGGGCTTAAAACTCCTATTCTGAGGCCAGTGTTGTGGCATCATTTTTTTTAAAGCCTGTACATTGAAAATGCTTCTTTCTAAGGGTTTAGATATTTTGACTGTTCCCACTTTTAGTTGAAACTGAAGTTGTTATTTTAAAAAATGGAAAATATAAAAAGCCTGTATAGTTGGGGGGAAACTATGGCTCGTTTAGAGGGCTGTGCATTTAAAGAACTATTTTTTATTTTATTTTTGGAGCAGAATTAAAATGGGCACAGGGAAAAAAAACTTATAAGGGGCCTAGCCCTTTTTTAAGTTTCCGCCTTCTGACAGCCTATTCTTAGCCCTATATTTGTTCCAGATAAAATTCCCAGGACTTTTCCACTGAAAGGAGCAGGGAAACCGGTGGTAATACTGCCGAGACCCCGATTCCTACACCGAATCACCCGGGATTAGCCGCTTCGGCATTTACTTCTCTCCGGTTTTTAAAACTCGCAGCCAAGTTTAAAGCAGCGCCGTGGATGGAAAGGAGCTGGGTTGTTGTTGTTTTTTTAGGAGAAAGAGATGCGAGAAAATCTTTTTTATTTTTATTTTATCCCGCGGGGTTAAAATGAAAGCAGTAAGTGAGAGTTATTTCTTCACAACCCTTTAACTTCGCCGATTATCCGTTTTTATGCTGACTTCAGGAGTGACACGGGTTGGTGTTTC